AAATAATTCATTAAGGAAACTCAACTGTCGTCGGCGTTGGCCCACATCTACCGCTTCTACTTCTTCTTCGCCTCCTTCTTCTTGTAGATGTTTTGATAAGCAAGGGGTAATTAAGCCCAGAGCTAGCTGAGTGTTGGCCGTAAAATTTGTTGGCGGAAAGTTTGTTCGCGCATAGATGACATGAATTTAAATAGGAATTAAATTAAAATGAGTCGCTGGCAGCGGCGGCAACAACAACGCGGCCGAAACAATCACGGCTTAAATTGTGCAACAAAATCACTGATAAGGGGGAAAAGAGAAGGGGGCAAAGGGAGGGGGGTACACAGTCGGGGTCAGTTGGAAATATATTTAATAGCTGTGCGAAATTGGCGCAGCTTGTAAACATGGCCAGAAAGCCAAGGCAACTGCAACTGTAACTGCAATTAAAAGGCCACCAGGCAATGCCTCAGTGTGCGTGAGTATCCATGTGGGTATGCATTTATGTTGTGCACACAGATACACAGATACAGATATATGTGTATAGTACGTGTACGTGCACTTCATATGCATGACAATGTCATGGCAACTTGTAAGGCAACACCACTTATCCTGCCCCGCCGCCTTTCTTCCTTTGCAGATTTATTGCAGCCGGAAAAGAGCCTCCTTTCACGATTCCCCGCTTCGGTGTGTTTGCCATTCACGTTTTTCGTTGTTGTTGTTGTTATTTTCTTATTTCAATATATTGCGGAGATGGCCCATTGTTGGCCTTGGCACCACAATCCAACATTCGATGGCCTCCAAGCCGCCGAGAGTAACTAAATTGCCGCTGCAGATGCATTCTCCTCTGAAGATCCATTGTTCGAGGCATACGAATTTTTAATGAATTGCTGCCTTTTGCCGCTTGCTTGTTGCACTTGAGCTCGATTTCTTAAATTGATTTTTGTAAATTAAAATTATTCCTTGCTACAACCATACAATTTTAAATTTCAAATACATTTTTATTACTTTATTGTTCTTTAACAAAGAGAAAATAATATTAGCTTAACCAATTTTTTTTATAAACATTGAAATTACTTCTAAAGCAGCATTTAAAAATGAATGAATAAAAATGTATTTTTTTAACAAATTTGTTTATACGTAAGCAGTGCAAGTTCGTTTCATTTTTTTGCCACGCCCCCTATTAAGCCCACAAACCGCATAAGCAAGCATGCGATCTCTCCTGCTTAATTATTGATTTGACACTTTGTATATTTTTCAATGCAGGAATAACTGGCTAAAGTTACGTATCGCAGCAGGATGGCTCATCAAAGTCAAAGCCAAAACAATTGCTAAATGCAACGCATAAAAAAGGCAGCTAATTAAGGCAGCTCAACCGCACTTTCATGGCTTCCGTTTGACATGGTTTTGTCATTAGTTCAGAGTGTTCGAAAAATGCATTAAATTCAGCAAAAATGTTGAATGGCTTTAAAGAGCGGCGCAAACGGAATGGCATGCATTGATTTATTGCCAAGCCGAGCGGCCGTTACCAACTCCCTTTTGGCCATGGACCTAGCTCATCTGCTGGAGCGACGGTTTGCTCGCCGGTGCATGAATGTCACTGCCGAGCCAAAATGGACAAGACAACCAAACGAACAACCGAATAAGCGAACAGCCACCGAAAGGGTTAAATGGCACCGAACATTGGCCAAAAGGAGAGCGGCAACAAATAACAACCGGCAAGATGGAGAGCCGCAAAAAGTGTAGCAAAGAAATCAGCGCACGTTAGCAATTAATAATGGGGGAGCCCCAAAGTATTCCGAGACTCTGGGTCTCAGTCGGGAATCGAGGAACAACAAACATTTGGCGTCCTGCGTACGGGGACCTAAAAAAGATGCCACCAAGAGCGGAATGGTCAAAAGAAACGAGTGAGATGTGTGCTTACCAAAACAAAGGAGCAGAAAATCCAGCAATTCAAGGTTTAAAACCAGTAATTTTAGGTAAGAACTCCAAGAACTGTAATACATTTAATTATATCGATTTAAAAAATCTTTATAAGCTCTTATGCTAAACTAAATGGAAACTAAAAAACAAATATTCTAAACAAATTAATATCACAGCATTATATAAATATTAATATATAAATACTGATTTAAATAAATAAATAAAACAAGAAAAATATTTTCAAAGAAGAAATTCTTTAGTTATTAAATAGTCGATAAAATTAGTTTTGTAAATTTTTCCAACATCAAATAGATAATTAAATTCATATGTTAAAAATGACCGTTTATTTGTACCTTTAATAGCCATCAGATTCTTTAAGCTTTAGTAACTTGGTTGTACCAATTGAATGGCCTTTAAAGCCATTAGCCATTGGGGTGCTGACAGTTGCATTATTCAAAAAAACTAAGTGCCACGTTCAGCCAGCCACGCCCACTTTATGCAACCCCCTTGCCCAAAACACACACGCGCTGCACAAATGGTTGTCGTACGTAATTATTAATTTCTAAAAAGCCATTCAAAAATAATATAATTTGAAAATGCGCGCGACGACGTGCCGGGCAGCAAATGTCTCTGATTGTCCCGGATTGTCCGGGGGTTCCGGAGCGTAAAATGGAAATCGGCACGGGCAATGACCAACCGGCCGGCTGCTCAGTTTCAAATGTTGTTAGAGCATTAATTTATGTGTGTGCCCCCGCGCTTCAAAAAGGGCCAAATCAATATTCCCGCCGCGTAAAGAAATATCCGCCGAATTGCCAAAAACGCATCCCGCTGTTTTCCACCCGTTGCCGCGGTGCATATGTTTTGATTTAAAAGCTCATGCACATACGGAACTAATCCTAATTTAAATGTTTTTTCCCCTATTTGGCTTTCCAATAAAGTGGGGAATTTAATTGTTTTGTTGTTGGGCGGCAAAGCATATATAAAAAAAAAAAAACACGAGTAGAAAGAAAAGAGAATCGCTTTTGCATAACAAATTCAATTAAATATCCTAGTGCATGAATTAAAAACATATTATACTTAATTGGAAAATGAAAATTTGGTTAAAATAATATAAATGAATGGAAAAAAAGTGTGCGGAACAAAAAGAGGTTAAATATTTAATCGCTTTCGTGCGGTTGCTACCGAACAATAAGAGCACATTATTTAAACACTTCCATTATGCGCACTAATTTCGGTTTTCATAACGAGTGCAAAATACAGTAAACATTTATTTGCCCGCTTTAATTCGCACTAACTTAATTGAACTTAATTCTTGAATACTTCGCTTGAGCCATTCAGCTCAATACCATAAAATGTTGCCATAGTGGCCATAATAATTCTACTTTTCTGCCACAAATCTCCGCAATTCCCAAAATAGTTTTCGAAGCGCGTCAACAAATTTATTTGTGCGCACCAAAGTAAAAAGGCCAACAAAACTATTTTGAGCAAACAAGTTAAATCAAATATATTGCTTCGATTGGCTGCCCCCAGTCTTTTTGTTGTAATGGGTTTTGTTTTGCAGCCAGGGCAATTGCCAAAACACCAAGTTCAACAGCAATTAAAATGGTCAAAAAAGAAGAAAACGAAGGATGCACACGAGAAGAATAAGGGAAATAAATGCATCTGACCAGCGGCAAGAGAAACATTTCGGCTGCTTATCTTTTAGTTGCTGCTAGTTAACAAACAACCCGAAAACAGCAACAGCAAAAAAAAAATACAAATATAACTACAACAAGTCGTAGAGCCAAGGACAGTATCCCATGAAAACTTTACTTGGTCGAAACAGAACATTCGCTCGTCCAAGAAGCCATAAAAATGTTGCTCACGCGGCGGGGTGATGCTAAATGGATGTGCTGGAGTGTGAGGTACAGTAAAGGTTCGCTAGGAGAGACAAAACATTAAAAGGGATTAAATGATTTCATAATTTAATATATTTAAATTTATTTAAGATATAATCTTACAAATGTATGTCCATGAATAAGTAACTATTATTTGAATAAATTTATAACATATTTTATTGCTTTGTGTGGGCAAAACTTATCAGTAATAGATTAATCCTTTTTATACTTCTTTAAGGTTATAATAGTTACCAACTTTTAAGTAATTAACTTAGAATTTATACAGTTTTCACTGTCTGGCGAGTGCACGTAAATCCCTGTAATAGAAACATTGCATTTTATTGCAGTTGTCTTCGTACTTCTTTCTGTCCTTTCCTTGCTTTCCTTTCTCCCACTTCCCCCTTTTTTTGTCTTTTGGCCAATAACATTCTGATAAATGGTCAGAACGGCTTTCGAGTCGATGTCCTTGAGGCAGGAGCATCAGCACTGCCATCTTCGGCTGCAGCTGCCCACATTTGCAGATATTTGTCTAAGCAGAGAGAACTTTTCAATTTGCACTAAAAGTATTTTCGTTTTCGAGGCAACCTGGCCTGGGTAAATCCATGTCCCCAGATCTTGATTTTGTCAGCCCGAGAACGTGGAACGTGGCGAGCTGAACCTGCAAGCGGTTGCATTTGCCACAAATGGATGCAGGCAGCTGCCAGGCAGCTTTATAAATGGTGTCAACCTAAGGGGACTCTTCATCACGAGTTGCCAACGCCACAAGTCTCCATCTCCGTTCTGCCTCGATTTGTCTTTGGCTTTTTGTTGGCCGACCAAAAAGTAAACTTTAATTAACTTAAGTACATGAGCCACTGGCACTTTGATCGAGCACATTCGAATGATTTTTCAGTGAATACATTTAAATTCCGAAGATAAATGTAGTTTAAAAATCAATCCCTTAAAAATTGTATTTTATATAGAACATTTTATTAATTTAATTAAGCGAAAAGTTTTAGCTTTCGAACATTCTGATTAAAAGCTTTATTCAACACCTTTTGAAAGAGTATTTCAGTTTTGTTACAAAGATATCCAAGCTTTCTATCTGTTTCTGTCCGATTTGACCACCATGAATAATTCAAATGAGGAGAGGCTTTTGTAGGAGACACTTCAATGGACCCATCCTGAGACTCTTTGAGCGTAGCCCCAGGATTGTGGTTTTCGAGATAGAAAAAACCAAACACATGAGGCTTAAACCAGCTAAGGTTGAAAGTGTTACATTTGTTCTATTTTTTATATTAAGGGGTGTTAAAAAGTTTTTTATTCGGTAGTTAGATGTAAAAATTGCACAAGTTTTTAGTTATTTTATGAATTTGGTGAACTATTTTAAAGAAATATAAGCCTTTATTAAATTTATATTTACTGAAAAAATTAATTAATTTTATAAAAAGTGTTTTTTTGTCACCTAAAGACAATTGCTGTTTTTTTTTTTTGGTTCCACTCAATGAAAACTTTGGCTTTATCCTGGAGGCCGTGAACTAGAACTAGAATCAGTAGAGCTTGAAGGACTAGTACTAGAAGGAGTAGAGCTAGATGAACTAGAACTAGAATCAGTAAAGCTTGAAGAACTAGTACTAGAAGGAGTAGAGCTAGAAGAACTAGAACTAGAATCAGTAGAGCTTGAAGAACTAGTACTAGAAGGAGTAGAGCTAGATGAACTAGAACTAGAATCAGCAGAGCTTGAAGAACTAGTACTAGAAGGAGTAGAGCTGGAAGAACTAGAACTAGAATCAGTAGAGCTTGAAGAACTAGTACTAGAAGGAGTAGAGCTAGAAGAACTAGAAGTAGAACTAGAAGGAGAAGAGCTTATAGAACTGGAACTAGTAGAATCAGTTGTACTAACAGAACTACTGATAATGGAACGAGATGAAGTTGTACTAATAGAACTAGAGACAGTGGAACTAGATGAAGTAGGACTTATAGTAGTAGAAATACTGGAAGTGCTCGTTTCATCACTTTCAGTATTCGCCGCTATCCAATTTTGAAACCAAGTCACACTCGCGTAGACATCGGGTTTTTTGCCACAGCCGCCTTCGGATAGAATGCCCACGAGCTTGTTGTCCTGCACCAGTGGAGCTCCCGCGTCGTAGGAACATCCTCCCGATCCATATTGAGTACAGAGGGTGAGCCCCGAGATGCCATTGTCCCAGAGGTCGAACCAAACAGCCCGATCCGCGGCGCACTGATCCAAGTTGTAGATGCTAACCCAAGCCATCTGGAGATAGTCCGGCAGACCGCCGAAGCACCGGTCCCACCAACTGTTCCACCAACTGGTGGATCCCCAGCCGGTAACCACTGCCCATGTGTTGTCATACGGCACATCGTCGATGATTTGGATGGGCCTAATACTTTCCGAGGTCTCGAGGGCATCGCAGAGCTGCAGCAAGGCCAAGTTGTTGTCGAATCGCCAGTAATTGTACTGCGGATGAATGACTATGCCGCAAACCGGAACCAGAAATCCGGTTCCATCGTAATCCCTGGAACTGGTTCCCACTCGCACATTAATCGAACTTGTATAGTATCCAGAGACACATGAAGCTGCCGTGAGGATGGCTTTTGGATTGACGATGGCACCACTGCAAATCATGGTGTAATCCGCAATTACTTCCGCTTGATAGGGAAATTCCTCAATGTTCGCGTAAGAACCTCCAACTATGCGGGGTTGGACCTCAAGATCACCAAGGATCTTGGGTGGTATTGTCACCAGTAAAAAAGAAAACACAAGCCGTATCATTTTGCCAACTAAAACTGGAACTCCATGAGCAACTCTTTTTATAAGCAAGCATTCTGAGCCTCTACAAGCTTATCTGCAAAGTCGTAGCTCAAAAAGAGTTATAACCTGCTTATCTAAATAGGAAGTATTAGCTATGTCTTTTTAATTTGCAATACCAGGCAATGCACAACAAGCAGGTTAAATAAGCGAATTACCTAACGAAGTTTTACCGAACTGAAGTTAAAGAAACTTTGAATTTAAATGTAAAAATTTATTGAAAGCACCGAGGGCGAACTACTTTTGATAAAGTTACTTGCTATTTGTTTCCAGCCAATCCTTGTACCTCAAGATATTGAGATATACATCAGGTCGGCTGGAGCAGCCGCCTCTGCTCAGGATGCCAACCAGTTGGTTACCAAAGACTAGAGGTGCACCCGGGTCAAAGGAGCAGATTTTATCAGCCACCTTTTCGGTGCAGAACACATTATCTGTAAGCTTGTGCAAGATCTTATGTTGTTTTGGCCAAACTTCTAGGCACTTTGGTTTGCTGAAGATCTTCAGCTCCGATTGCTGCAGTTTTTGGGCCTCCTCATTGAGGCACGGCGCCGAGTTGGTCATCCTCCAAAGAAAGGATGCCCAGCCAGTAATGGTGGCCTTCGTGTTGTCCTCTGGCATCTTATCAGCCAATTGGATTTCTTTGATCGTTTCGGAGGTCTTGATCGGGATGCACAATTTCAGGAGCGCCACATTGTTGTCCATGGACGTTACCAAGTACTTTTCGTGCGTCTTGATTTCGCAAACCGGGGAGTTGGTAAAAGTAACATTTCGGTTCGCAATTCCAATTAGCAACTTGAATGCCTTGCTCAAGTAACCATCCACACACTTGGCCGCCGTCAGAATGTAATTCGGATTGTAGATGACCCCGACGCACTTGTGCTGGTCCCTCAACATAATGGAAACCGTCCACGGCGCCAACTGGATGTCCACTGGCTGGCCGCCAATGGTCGTCTTGTTGCAGCTATCGTTATCCTCCGAAGGTTTCTTGGTTGTGGTTGTAGTTTCATCGGAAAGAACAAATACAGTCATCCCCAGGATGAGTAGCAGAGTCGACAGAATCATGATCGCAAATGGAATTGGCTACGATGGGGATCGCATATTATATATTAGTTACAAAACGAAACCGTTTTGTTAAGCTAAATTTTGTTAAGTTAAATCAATTTGTCATACTAAACAGATTGAAACGCCAATAACATTTTTCCAAGTTTTGAAATATTAACTCTTGGTCGTTTAAGTTTGGAAATCGAAGTTTAGTTAAGGTTGGTTAGCTAGGTGATTAAGACAATCTGCTTACATATTTGTTCATTTTCAGAATTTTTCTTTAATTTGGAAACCAGCCATTTAATTACCTTTAACCGACCTCGAATTTCTCGAATTTCTGAAAAGGAAAACCTACGCTGACTGACGCAGAAGGATCCTCCAATTCGAAGGATAGCGCCGGAACAAATGTGATAGCTTGCCGCATTGTCAGTTTCATTGAAAATTAGTTTTCAATTTTTCCCCCAAAACTCAAACAAATTGGAATGTTCCTCTTTATTAAAATATCTTATAAATTAAATATATGTATATAAAGAAATATTATCAGTTCCATTGATAACTTTCACCTTCATCATTATTTTTTACCCAACTCTGTCTAACTCTTTCATACTAGAATCGATCCAATCGGAAAGCTTGATAACATTCGAATAAATATCGGGCAAAATAGAACAGCCTGCCCAGGATAAAATCCCAACTAGTTTCTTGTTCACCACCAGAGGTGTCCCCAAATCACCAGAGCAGGCTCCAATTCCGGCCGTTTTGGTACAAATGGTCAGCTCAGAAATTCTTAGCATTGGAATAATTTTGTGCCAGTCTGCGGCACATTGCTTTTGGTTGTAGATTTTCACCTCGGAGCTGCGCGAATAGGTTGGGTAGACGGCATGGTCAAAGGTCCTTCCCCCTTCCCAAACGTCCCCAAAGTTGCGATTTAGGGAACCACAACCAGTTGCATTGGCTTGTGAGTTGTCCGCCGGAATCTTGTGGCTCCCTTCAATTGGCTTTGTAAGATCAGTGGTGGTAATTGGTGTGCAGGTCTTCAAAAGGACGAGACTCGTATCGACTCGATATTTGGAGTACTGATCATGTTTCTTTAACTTGCAGATTTTAACTCTGGATCCTCCCGACTGGCAATTATTTGTACCTATCCTCACTTGAATATCTCTCATGCCATACCGTTCCAGACACCTGGCTGCCGTCAGGATGTAATTGTTTGAGATTATGGCTCCACCGCACTTTCTACTGGATCCTAGATAAATCATGGCATACCACGGCTCATCCTTTATATTTCCAGTAGTAGTAGAGCCTATGATTCGTGGGTCTCCAAAGGCCAATAAAGGCAGTGCCACAAACTGCAGCAAAAATAAGTAGCTGATCATTTTTCTAAACTAACTTTACTGCCAAACAAGTTCCCTTTTATATAGAATTAAGGAGCTCAATTTTAATAATCTTTGGTATTTCCCCAATTATAGAGTATATCTTTTAATTACGGTTACATATTATTTTCTTACATCTTCAAAAAGATAAGAAAGTAAAAAGGTATTTTTTAATTTAGTAGGAATGTCGTAATGCTGATTCAGAATATATCTACTTTATGGGTTCTGGGTGTCTCCTTCACTGCGTTGCAAACTTCTGACTGAAATTATAATACCCTTTGCTCTGCGAGGGTATAAAAACAAAATCTGCTTGCAGCATTTTTACTATTTGAATTTGTAACTATTTATAATTTATAAATTAAAGCCTGAAATCGTTAAACGGTGTCATTGTAAATTATTTTCCATTTTTCCCCCAAGACTAAAACGAAGTGGTATCTTAACTTTAAGATGTTATAAGTTAATTATTAATAAAGAAATATTATATGTTCCATTGATACATTTTATCTTCATCATTATTTTTTTACACAACTCTCTCTCTCTCTTTCTCTCTCTTTTACTCTTTGATATTTGAATCGATCCAATCGGAATGCTTTATAACATTCGAATAGATATCGGGCTTCCGGACACTGCCTGGCGAGGATAAAATCCCAACTAGTTTGTTGTTGACCACCAGAGGTGCCCCCGTATCATAGGAATTGGCTCCAATGCGGCGATCTTTGGTGCAGATGGATCGCTCAGAGATTTTCTTTTTCCATATTGTACGAGAAAAGATGTTCCAGTCTGCGGCGCATTGATTTTGGTTGTAGATTTGCACCACGCCGGTGTGCGCTTCCGTAGGGAGTTTGGGTAAAAAAAACCTTCCCGGCCAAATGGGATCCCGATAACCACAACCAGTTACATTGGCTTGTGAGTTGTCCGTCGGAATCTGGTCGCTCCTTTCAATTGGTTTTATAAGATCAGTGGCGGTAATTTTTTCGCAGGTCTTCAATAAGGCGAGATTATTGTCATAAGTCAAAAAATCAAATCGATCATGTATCTTTATCTTGCAGATATTAACTGTAGATCCTCCAGATTTGCAGCTACTTGTACCTATCCTCACTTTAACTCTCCTCGCCGCATTGTGATCCACACAATTGGCTGCCGTCAGGATGTAATTATTTGAGATAATGGCTCCACTGCACTTCATGTCCGATCTGACTCGAATCGTGGCAAACCATGGCTCATCCTTTATAATTGCTGTAGTTGTAGTGCCTATGATTCGTGGGTCTCCGAAAGCCAATAAAGGCAGCAGTCCAAACTGGAGCAAAAACAAGTAGTGGATCATTTTCCTTAACTAACTTTACTGGCAGACAAGTTCCTTTTTTATATAGAACCAAAGAGCTCAATTATTATAATTTTTGGTATTTTCTCTATTATTTATCTTTTAATTTAAAAATTAAGTAACTTTATTGGCAAACTAGTTCCTTTTTATTCTCCTTTTTATCTCTGGTATTTTCCTTTTATATATCTTTTAATTAAGGTTACATATTACTTTCTTACATCTACGAACAGACAAGTAAGAAAAAGAAAAAAGGTATTTTTTAATTTTAAAGGTATGTAAACTGTTAAAACCTAAATTTCTTTACATCATTTAAATATTGTTTCATTTATTATCGCAATGAATGTTAAATATTAAATACTAATATTTGCAGACAAAAATATTAATTTACACCCGCATATAAGCCGTATCGAGTTCTCTGTGGGTAAATAAATTCTAACAAATCGATTAAATATAAACGCAAACAATTATTTATTCAATTGCCGTTTGGAGCAATTGGTTTTATATACTCCCGATTTATACTGTATAATTCAAGCAACCGCTTAGAGCTGCTTAACCCCCTATCGCCGCTTACCAAAAAAGTCTCACCAGCCATTACACTAAGCCGCTTAAATTATTTGAATAATTCCCACGCTGCACCAACAAAAAAGAAAAAAGAACGGGTGACGGAAATAAATCTGGACATTTCCATCAAACGATATTTGTGTGCGCCTATTTATGCGATTTTACATGAATGCAAATTTAAAATCTGGCCAATGTTTAGCAAAATGTCGAAATAAATACATTCATCGCTGGTCGTTCGTAACAAGTTGTGGGTGGAAAGTTGGTGGTCGTCTAGGCCAAGTAAACAAACATTTTGATGATTCGCCATGTCAAGTGGGCGGTTTCGTATTCCACGCAGGCGGATTAAAATAGATTACAACTGAATTATTTGATAATACGCCAACAGATGCAACACATCGCATTGGTTTGCCCCGAAACGCATTTAATTTTCATCAATGTGAAAATCATTTTTGGTTGCCAAGTTTTTTTTTTAACGTTTTTTGCCTTTATCGGGGCATCGTGTTTTCCATTTGCCTCTGGATCTAAATTTTTTTCCAATCTGTGGCAAAAAATCATCTGTTGTCGGTTTTTTGTAATCAGAAACTGTTTTTGTTACTTTTAGCTCGATTTAATTGATTTTATTTGAGCAAAATCAGGAAGGGATTTTTTATAATAGCAGGATTTTACTGCATTAGCAAATTGGTTACAAGGGTATTGATGTCTTCCTTTTCGTAATTATCTTTTTTAAACATTCAAAAGAAATTTGTGAAAGGTGTGACAATCACAGAAACAATGCTGCAATGCAAATAGTTTTTTGTTTAAATAAATTACCAGGATTAATCAATTAATTGGATACAAATTTGTATATTGATTTTATTTTATTTTAAATCTTGTTAATGCAACTTAAAAATGCATATGATTTTCAGCCCATCGTTACAATGACCTAAATTGGTTTATTCTCTGCCTTAATGATTATTTCAGTTTTGGCAACATCGCCGATGCCATAGACATCCATCGATGGCCATTTGTAGCTCGATCCAGCTGCTCCTTCATCTCAATCAGCCTTTGGCTCATACATAACCCAGTAAATCCTTTTCCAGCTGGATGGCATCGTTGCCAATTTTCACACCAGCGACAATTACTCAAACCGTTGACAACAACAGCGGGTTTGGAAGCTCTGTCCTTGCTACTGCTGCTGCTGCTTTTTCACTGACCCGCTTTTCCTCCCCTCCGCCGGACTTTTCATCGCCGATCCCCTCCCACTTTTGATTCTGCAGTCAGAGCTCGCCAATTCGGAATCGAGGGACGACCGGCAAAACAATCGTGGACAAAAATATTTGCATGCACTCTGGGTGCACTTGTCTGAATCGCCGATCTGGGGCAACTGCCCCCTTTTCCCCAACTTGTTTCTGGTATCGCCACCGGCGGCGGCGCATTAAATATGCAACACCTATGACAGCAAGCCGCTTGACATTTAGATTTAAAAGCCCCAACAACCCGTTCCGTTGCCTTCAGCTCGCTGCTGAATGCTCACACTAAAGTTCTGCTGGCAATTTGTCGCTAAATTTGTCAAAAAAAAAACCCAGAAAACTTGGCCGGCACGAAAAATTATGACTTTCGCAATTGTTGGTGGAACAAAAGGCACTAACGTAATGCCAAAGTGTGACCCGAAACAGTTGAAAAGGCAAACTGTTGCTCTCGAACCTTAGGAAAATCCACCGCTTCCAAAAATCCCACCCTTTTCCCTCACACGGCAAAAGTTTTCAAATAGAAAATGTTTAATTTCCCCAAAGACAACGTTGATGCTGCTGCTGCCGCTGCTTCTGCTGCTTTTCCTCGAAAACGCAGCGTTTTCCCAGCCAAGCTGAGGAAACTTTCTTACATATTTTACAATAGATCTTCGTGTGTGTGTGGATGGCTGCAACAGTGCAGCCGAAAAGTTTCTCCTTAGCCGGTCGAAAAGTTGGCTAAGACAAACTCTCCGCCGAAAAACAGCCATCCCTAAGCATCCGGAGTCGAACTTGTTAGTTTGCCATATAGCGTTGAAAATTATATTATTTTAAACTTTTCAAATGTCACCAGAGAGTCAGAAATTTCACCGAACGTCAGTGACAAAATCGTGTTGCTGCGACTCGCGTTCATTGTGTTCGTTAATTAAACATGTTGTCCCAATGAAGCGAACAATGATTCGCGCTCCGCGGGAAAATGTTTGCGAGGAAAAGTCAAATTGGAAATTAACTGCATTATCTGATCGAACGGGGTAATTAAATGTGGCAATAATTTCAGCAGGTCAATCAAACTCATTGCGGACATATAAACAACATTACAAATGCCAAAAAAAGAGCAAAATTATTAATGGCAGTAGAAAGAAATCGTTATAAATGTACATTTTCAAAATCAGTTGGCTTCATAAAATATTTATAACCTTTTGTGTTGTCGTAAAATTCATTTAACAATTGAAAAATAGGGAAATTGGTTCAGTTGATAAGGATGTGATAACAAATATAGGATTTAGTAGTTGAACGAAGTCAACGATTCTGAATTGTAGTACCTCTTTAAGTTTAGTAGCAACTTAAGTTAGAACTTTGCATTTATTTTATTTTTATTTTTTATAATAGCTTTATACCTGTTTCAATGAAAAGTTCTTTCGCCAAGTCGGAACTATTTCTGGTGTTGCATCTTTGATAAGGTTTTTTTCGCTTTATCAATTTGTGTACTGGGCGATTATTACCCAGTTTTACTTGCAATCTCCGATCCAATTCAAAGTCGTTCCCATTCCTGTTTCTCCCATGGAGCCCATTACAATCTAAAACTGTCGCAAAATGTTACAATGCGATCAAAGTGAAACTTCAGCAATGCCGTCTAAAAAAAAAAACTAGTGCCACAATGACGGTACATAGAAGCTGCCTCGCAGTTATGGCGCACAATCAAAGCAAGTGCAACAGCAAAAGAAACAGCAACAACAACAACAAGAACAGCAAAAGCAAAAGCAAAATCAGTGGCAACATCGGTGGCAGGCAGCAACATTCAGCGACTGCAACACAAATTGCTGCCAGAGGCGGCGTGCGGACTTTTCTTTCTTTTTTTTTGTTTAGCCGCCAGAGAGTTTTGATGACACCCGACGCCTTTTGCCACGCGACAACTATCAACTAGCTGGAAGGCAGCCAGCCATCCGGGTGGCCAACAAGTGTTTAGCGTTTTGTTTTCAGTGCAATTAAAAAGCGCCAACAAACGCCTAAAAGCCAACACGCCTACACGCCTACACGCCTTCATGGCTGACACGCCCCCTCAAGTGGCGACTGGCTGGCTGCGAATGTTGACAAACACCAAAAGGCCACAAAAGACACAAAGGGGGCAGTGGTGCGGGATGTGGTGCGGTGTGGTGCGGTGCGGTGCGGTGTGGTGCGGTGTGGTGTTCAACACTTGAGTTTTGTTTTTCAACACAACCACCGTCGGCGGAGTGAGAAAAATCCGTGCAACGTCGACTCCTTCCTTCTGTTCTTGCCACGCGGCGCCTGGGGATATGCAGCACAAATGGCTGGCGTCAAGCATTGCGTATACGCCATGTGGAATATGAGCATATTCGCTATGTGGCAGAAGAGCAGCGAACTTAGACCCCTTTTCTGAATTATGCTAATCCGGCTCGCTTAATATGCCTTAATTGCACTTTTTCAACAATTTTTATAGAGTGCTGGCATGCCTCAAATGTTTCACAGAAAAAGCTAGAAGAGACCAGCCTTTGTGGCTTTCGGAATGCAAAAGACGGGGTGATTTTAAAATAATTTAATAACTTTTAGGCCAGCTTTTGCTCTGTCTGTTCGGTTTTGAGGAGAGATTGAGGGGGCTTGGGGGGTATGAAAGGGGTCGACGGGGCGGAAAACATTTTGCCTGGCAAGGCAAGGCCTAAAATACGCTTGAATTATTCAAAGCATGTAACTGATGAAGCAGAAACGAGACGAGAACCAAAAACTAGAACTCCAATTTCAATGTTTGAGTATTTTTGAGTGCTACGTGTTATAGATATGTGATATGTGTATGCTGGCAGGCTGGCAGAAGTTGCCACAAGTGCACTTTATAGACAGGGAGAAAATAAGAAAATATTGTGAATATATGATTGAATTTTTAATTACAGAAATTGGTGTTAACATCCTAGGGATTTTGTTTAAATGGTAACTAGTAAACATTGGATTATTTGGATAAGGTAACTAAAAAAAGAGAATATATACACAGCTGTTCGAAATTCGAATATATAATTTTACTTGTAGTAAATGATACAATAAAACATAAATATAAATATTAATCCAAATCTAGTTATGCATGCCATATTTCCGATTCCTTTTTTAATATTTCAGTTTTCTCTGTGTGGTTTTGTGTGTGCGTGCGAGTGCATTGCCTATTATGCTACCAAATGAAAGTGGTAATAAATTGGACAAGATGTTGCCATAAACCACACCACGACAAGCCACAGGCTTAGCTGGACAGGCCCATCCACCATCGACCATCGGCCATCGGACATTGGCCATGGCCATGCAGCCCGGAATTGCAAATGCAACGCATGCTGCCGCTGCCTCTGCCTCTGCCGCTGTGAGTTGCAACTTGCAACAGTAGCAGTAGCAACCAACATGATTATCATGTACGAAATGCATTCGAGAGCCGAGCCAGCTGGCCAACAGCTGACATAGCTGGCCGGCATTCAACAGCCCACCTGGTGGAGAGCTCCTCGGCAACCACCTATCAACCACAAGCGCATTTATGGCCATCAGGATTTCCTCTCCGGAAAGAGTGGGCTGTGTGGGTTCCGGGCTTTTCCGGGGGATTCCGGGGGTTTTGGTGTTCCGGGTTGCCCATTTAATCTCTCCAAGTGACTTGCAATTGAAATAGAAACGAAAATAACTCATAGTGAATATGATGTGGAAGCAACAAAACGTGGTTGCTTCCAAATGCATCGAGTGCTCAAAGAGGACTCCGATTTGCAGACAAAGCTCAAGAGCTCGGTCTCAGCCATCAAATATTCTTAGTAGCTTGGCAATTTGGTCGAAAACAGCAGTACGTACTTGGCTGCAAGTTCAACTGTTAATGCGCTCAACTGGAGTTTCATCGCAGCCATTTTAATTGTTTCATTGGCCATTTATGTGATTTCAGTTTAGGTCAATGGGGTACAATAAACATGTGATTGGAGTGGGTTCGTTTGTTTGTTTGAATTTTGATTCATTTTAATTAAGCTGATTTTATTAACCTTGTTGCTGAGCTTTTGAACAATGTGATTGTGATGCATTAACTTGATTAAAATATGTTCTTAAACAAAGAAAGGTTTGTTATTATGCATTTTCAATTATTTTTTTTATCAATAAATAGGTGTTCCGATTATTCTTTTTGTGATTGGTTATTTTAATAAATTATTCTCACATGGTTTTAATTTTTATGCAGTAATTGCATTTATTAATTGATTACATTTAATTTTTGTTTTTATTTTAAGCTTATCCCATTGTATTACTTTTTTGTAGTTTAATAAACAATAAATGACAGAAAACCTCTTTTTTTTAAAACAATAACTTTCTCTTCCAGCAAATAATATATTTTACTAATTTATTTTACAGATAACATTATTTTAATTATTTGTTATCGAGCACTTTAGTTTACACAAATCCTTGTGTTTTTCTTCCGCTTTGATTAATTGTAAACTGCGAATTTAATACTCATCCGCAACGTTGGCCCAGGAAAAGCTTTTGTGGGTAATTCGCTATGTGTTTTGTGATACTTGCTGGTGTTGCAGTTGTTTAATATTTGTATTTCTCGACTATCTCAGCGGGCAAAACAATCAAGCTGGGACAAAGTTGTTGAAAACTTTTCATTCCCGCTCTGTTGTTGTTTGGCATGCGATAGGATTTTTATGTAAAACATAATTGCAGATTAGTCGCAGCGGAAATGTGCAAATAAAAGCAAAAGCGATGCAACAACAGCAGCAACAAGAAAAACCCAACAGCAAAAAAAATCAAAAATGTAATCGTTCTGTTGCCGCTTAAAGAGGATTAAACATGAGTGAAAGAGCTGCTGGGATTCCCAAAGGGGGGATGAGGGGGGTAAATGAATGAAAGCTGGATAAAGGGAGCAGGATGAAGGGGGAAACAGGACGAGAGGAGAATGGAAGGGCCACTCAACACTTCCTGTATGACTGCCAGCTGCAAACTGGCTGTCAATTTGTTTGCCATCCTGCCATTCCGACTGCTTCCCAAAGATATTTTCAATTAATTAAAAAAAAAGAAGGAAAAAATAAACTGTACGAAAGCAATCAAATGGCCAAACGGCTTTTACCGCAAAAAGGAAAAACGCTTTGGAATCGTTTGCTCAAGATACAAAATATGACTTCGAATTAATACGAAGTGCGCCGCTCGATGGCAATGCATTTTGCCTATTTGCACAACAAATGAAGCTGAAAATGGAGCCTCCAATCTCCCCCTGTCCACTCTAAATGGAAGCGTAAATATTTGAGCTGCAATCGAGATACGAGATACCTGGGACCCAGCTCAGTCACTCGCTTTCCCCCTTAACTCAGTTATTGATTGGTTAAGCATTCGGACCAGAGTCCAAAAATGCCTCACATCGTCTCTTATAAAATGCAATTCGGAGATGTGATTGCACAAGATGCCAATAAATTTTTATTGACAAAAATAAAAACGAATGGAAGACAGCAAAGGGAGGAACTTTAAAGTTGCCAAGCAAATAATCCATTGCAAAATTACATTTGAAATATTTCTGAGGGGGATATTTTAATTCTCGATTTTCATATTGCCTAAAGAAATTTGTACGAAAAATTGATAGAAAAGCTGAGCAACTCAGTAGTTTTACCAATAATAAAGCTCAAGTTTAATAAAAAATATCTTTTAATTTTAAAATACATATTGCTATTATTATTAACCTATTTAATCGGTACCATAAAACTGCTTGTATGAGATTAAGATATTTGGTTTTGATACTATAAAGTAATTGGATTCTTAAAATAAGTCAGATTCCTTAATTTGAGTATAACATTTTTCAACCAATTATTAAAGTATATATTTATCAAATTCTTTAAATCAATACTGGTTATCTGGTATTTATTTGTGATAACTAATTAAACCCGTTTAACCTGTTCACCACTCACATTTCATTGTCAAATCCCGAGGAAATCAATCGCTGGCCGTGATTGCGAGTGTCAGACGCAAATTCAGCCGCTGGCCAAATGCGATAACTGTAATAATTGCACCCAACTGCAGTTGCTTTTAACCCCCATGCCCCCACAGCCCCACATGTGTCCTTGAGCCATGTGCCGACCATATAAATTAGCTGCCAGGCAAGAAGTCAACCGAACCGTCGACGCTGCCGCCGCTAGTCTAATGAACGCACCACATAAACATAAATTATGGCCAGCGCCAGTGTAGCAGGTCGCCACCTCCCCTCCGCAAACCCCCCTCCCCCTCCCCCCTCTCTATCCCCCCTCACCATTGTGGGCAGCCCCTCTGTTAACCTCTTCGCGGAACCCCTTCGCTTAACCCAACCCTTCTGAAAACGGCGACCAGAGTTGGCATATTTGCGCAGCATACTTTTGGGCGCCGGACGGGGAGCGTTGCATACTTTTTGGCTGCGCTCGGTTTTATCCTGCAGTAAAAAGCATTTTTGGCACGGCACTCGTTCGCTTTCCATACTCTTACAAAGTGCGGTAGGTTATCTATTTAATCACATTTGATAAATCAAAAAGGTTCTATCAATAAATAATAACAATATAAAATAGTTGTAAGGTTAAGGATAAGGAAAACTTGTTTAATAGTTAACGTTACAAACAAATCAATGTAATAATTTGTATGGTTTTAATAAGGTCAACCTTCAAAAATAAAGATTTAAATTATAGGGTTTAATATAAAGAAATAATGAATACTTTTTTTAGAGGTCTACGTTTTGAATTTTGAAGATCACAAAACCTGGTTTTAAAATTAAATTATATCCACTCACTCTAAAAAAAAACTTTTATTCAGCAAATTGAAAGGTAATCCAAGTTTCGGCCTTAACTTTTATTCCCTCCCTTCTTCTTCTTTTTCTCTTTTATTTCACCGCTTTTCTCACACTTTTTTAGCGTTAATTTATTTTCTTGTTTTTTTATTGTTTTTTCCTTGCATATGCATGTGTGTGTTTTACTTAAAATAAATGTTACTCTTTAATCATAATATATATTCACAGTTTTTTGTAAGTAGGTGTGTGTGTGTGATTTAAGTTAAACTAATATTTATTTTTATGCATATTTCCGAATTAGAATATTTTTTAAAGGTATTTACAGTGTTTGAAATAAATATACGCTATCCACTAAATAAGTTTATAAATAATTTATAAAATCCTCATTCATAGAAATGCACTTTCGTTTTGTGTAAAGTTATTGCCGATATGTGAGCAAATCCACGGGGGAGTATTTCTTGTGCGCTTAAAGGTGTTATTTTTTCTGTGATTGAAACTGAAATTGACTTTAGCATATTCACTGGGTTGCAAGTAGGCGATTCTGATAGATATTGACTGGCTTTGAATCTCATATATCTATTCTACGCATCATTATCGAATAGAAACACCTACAAACATCCAGTTTAGAATACTTTTGGAATTGCCTAGTGATACAGAAAAAAAAAAAACAAGAGTTTGGTGGGGGGCGCCTTTTCTAACTTCAGCTAACAACGAGTGTGAAACTTAGGGGTATTTTCTAAAATATGCCTACACTTAAAGCCTGGACAACTTCAACAAACTCAACGAAACTCTAGTATTGCACGACGATTGGAAAGTAAGGCCAACAACAACTAACCTGCCTGCCACACTCAACACTGATTCTAACTATCTAGCCTATATCCATTATATATAGTAACATACATATCCGTATATATATACGATCTTAGCTATGTCTGACTCTGCTCTCCGATCCCCTATAATAACTTTATGCATACTGGTATACATAACATACTTAACACGTACTTTACTTTATAGCTTACTCCTTTATCGATCATCTTGGGGATTTTCGTGGCCTAAATTGACTGCCAAATGTATGCAACAGCGTGTGGAATTCTTTCGGTGTGATTGGGGGAAACCTTAACTATTTTTCCGTCTCTTCTCCTCCTTTGCAGCGCATAATTCCGTGTTTGGTAAGACTGGTTCTAGATATTTGCACTTAGCTGCGGTTCTGCCATCTATCTGTTCACTCTGCTGACCAAAAGGGCGAGCAATGTCCCTGTTAATAGAAGGCCAAAACTGCTGCGATCCACGCGATTCGAACTGTTGCCCTCGCCATCTCGACAGATTCCCGGATTTCGAGTGAAGTTCCCGCAGTATATCTGGCAAATAATTTCATTAAAACAAGTTTTAAAGCGTTTGTTTTTTAGGTTTACCTGTGTCAAGCTGTGGAAATTTTTGTCGTACAATTTGCGTGTGAACTTCGACGCTTCATAGCCGCAAATTTTTCGCGCAGCAGTTTCCGAGCAATCCGCGAACTCATTCATGGAGCTAAAATAAATAATAAAAAATATTAGGTAGGGAAAAATTTGAGAACATAAATAAAAAGTAAAGGTTAAATGCCAGCTGCAGTCGCTATAAAAAACTAAAATATCATGTTTAAATGCCTATAAAAAATATAAGTAAAAAAGCAATAAGTTACAGTTATTCTAATGCAAAAATGCCTATACATTATTCATTCCACATTTATTAGCAAACCAAAATTAAAAAATCAACTTAAAAATAGTTAAGAACTGTAGTTCGAAAATTAAAGCATTCAATCGGAATAATTATTAATGCACATTGTTTTCTACTCACCAGCAAATGGTCTTAATGTTCTCATTGAGGGTACCATTCTCAGAGTTCTCCTGATTTTGGCTCGACTTCAGGAACACCATGGTTTCCTTGTAGTGATTGTTGCACACCTCCAACTCTTTCTTGGCCATTCCCGAGCAGTAAGCATACTTGAGGAACTCCTCCTGGAACTCGCCATCGTTGCACAGATCCCTGATGAACTGATTCGTTCCGTGGTAGAGTTTGTTGAAGTGGTTCCTGTGCTGCAGATCCATGCAACGTCGGGTGTAACTTTGGATGCACCTCACTCCCTTGCGAAGCTCACTAAAAATAGGTTTAATTTTATATGTGTTTTGGGGTTTAAATTTAAAAAAAAAACGAAAACAGAATTCTAAGTATTTTAAAGTAAAGATTAGTTTTTAATTTGTGTGTATTTTTTTTATAAAGCCTAAAAGAACCAAAGAAATATTTTAAGAAAAGTCTTAAAGAGAAATTTTGAGATCCCTTAAACCAAAAAAACCTAAGAAGTTTTATTGTTGTATTTCATTAATGGATAAAATGGTTAACATGATTAATATTTTTTACTTGAAAAAAATTATTAAGTGTGTATTTTCTTATATATTTAATAAGAACAACGCCAAAGAAAACTTTTTAAGAATGCTAACATACTAATAACATATTTAATTTTCAGATTAGCTATTAAATTATTATTTATTGCAAGAAATTTTATGAAAGAATACTATAAATATCTTTTTGACATAACTTATCAAAAGATTCGTTTCGAATCCCCAAATGGTCTGCAGAAAGATACAGAACATTTGTTGGCTTTGCTCAGCAAATTGCGATTAGGATTCGGATGCACCGAGTGTAGATCGAGTGGGGGAATTTCTGGTGGAGCCACTTACTGACAAAGTTTGTCCAGGTCCTCCTTTCTGGCCGGGCCAATCGAGAAGTTCGACGTTAAATGCAGCATATCAAGTGGTTCGGCGCACTTGGTGAACTCCTCCTGGTCGCATTCCTTCGAATTTCCCAACGAGAACAGGAGCATGGCTGGAAATTCGAGACCAGTACAAAACAGAACAGTAGAGAGTGGGTGAGAGACAAATAAACAAACAAACAGAAACATTGAAATAGTGCTCCAGCTGAAAGCTAAAAGGCAATCTGAGACTCTTGGCCAGCAGCAGTAGAAGCGAGCAGCCAGCCAGCCAGTCAGTCGGTTGCAACAAAGTTGCAAATGTGCGTCAGGGGTAATAAAGTTAAACGTAAGTGAAATTGGCATTTCATAAATTTTTCGACCAACTTCTCTCCGTTTGCTTGAAGGGGAATTCCGACAGATCGGGTCAGATTTTGAATGGGATGGAACAGTGACCCAAAACTCACCTGAGAGAATCAGCAGAATCCAACTGAAGTTTCTATTCCACAATTGATGCATTTTGTCGCGTTATTTCCTTTTTCTATTGATGTTTACAAGGCAATTGTTTTCGCAAGTGCAGCTAAGTGCTTGTAACTGGTTTGTCTGAAAAATGCATCAGTGGAAAAAAAAAAAACAAAAAAATACATATAATCATGACAATTATAAAATGCAAATGCTTCTGACAAATTATAGGCTCTCACAGTTTGTATGGTTTGCCGCCCACTTTTGTATTTATTTATTTATGGCCCGATCAAGTCGCAGTAAAAACGAATCTATGCTGACAAGTAAAAGCTGCACAAAAAAAAAAAAAAAAATAGAATAAAATAAAATAGCGCAAAAATCACGACCAACCGAAACAAAAAATTGATCTAAAAATACTCAGATGTCTGCGATGAATAGAAAAGCGAAAGCAAAGCGTCAGCGAGTGTCTTGTTTTCATTTTGGGTCGGATTCTTTCTTTTTGACTCGGGGTTCCTTCTAATATTTATTTTTCAGCTGATGCTTTTATTTTTATTTTTTTTGTTTTTACGTTTTGCCAATTATCGTTGCAAACGTGGCGTGGACAGGTCAAAGTATACTTTCGGAACAATTTGTGTGGGTGTGAAGACGCTCAAACCAAAACAGTGGGACTTATTCACTTCAGGATTATTTATTATGTTAAATGTATTTTAAACTGCCTAAATATTAATAAATATCGAAAGAGAAAAACAATATTCCACGAAAAGAAAACCATTTTATGTTAATATAGTTAAATACAATATAGTGGAAAACGTTTTGAAAAAATGGAAGTGAAGCTTTGCTTGCCCTTTTGAATTTGTACATAAATTAAGAGCCCATCGATTTCAATTAACGACGTAACAAGCTGTGATATCAAGCAAAATTACTTTCTCAGTGCCTACAAATTGTATAGTTTTTGTTTTTTATAAAAGTGAATGTTATAATAGAATCTGCAAAAGCACTCTTTTTTAATACAAATGTTCGACCAACTCCATCTCTTATTTTCTCCACCTTTTTGCATGATAAGTGAGAAACACGAGGGCAAATTAATATAAAAAACTGGTACAAATTGCTGTTGCTGATTTCCATATACATTTGACGAGGCAAATTGTTTATGCTTTTGATTATGTTTTGTGGCCATTTATGTTTTCATTGCAATATGTAAATACAAATATTGGGCATTCACAGTTCTTCGACAGATGCATTAAATGCCTATAAATAAAAGATACGCAAATAAACAGAAGGCAAACACTTTTCAAAAGCCTCTCAACGATTTCTCGCATTTGTTGACGTTCAAATGATTGAAGAAAAATATGAGAGCCGATCTGAATTGGAATAGGTCAGGGTTTTCTGCCAAAAGAGAGCTATGAAAGTACATAAAGGTATTTACTAGAATTATGTAATGAAAGCAAAAATAGAGAACAATGAAATCAAATATTTACGTGTGCATAGTTTTGCACTCTTAATTAGTAAGTTGCAATTGCAATAACACTTGAGGTGCAAATAGTCCTCTTTCGATTGAAATCGCCGCCAATTTGCGACTTTTTTGTACATAGTACATTTATGCAAAAACGAAGCTTTCCCATCTATTTGCAGTGGCTTTTGAGGCCGCTCAATTCAGTTACGAAAACAAAACACTTAAAGGAGGAGCAAGAGTAAACCGCCCCGCAGAAAGAACTGTACATTTGCGATTTTACAAAAGTGATTTTAATCGAAAGACAGTGAGAAGAATCGGATGAAAAAATAATTTAAAAAAAAAAAGATCTTCATGTTTTTAAAATAAATTGATAAAAGAAATTAAAGTTGTTATTATTACAAAAGAAATTCTAAAAGAAATACAAGCTCTAAGTTTATTTAAAATTTACCAAAATAAAATACTTTTATAAACAAGATTTAGACTAAACAAAATCAGCTATCAAATCTCCTTTACACCTTTTTTCACAAATAAATTGTTTAGTAATGTTGGTATGCAATGATTAAGGCACTGATCGCAAGCAAATCTCAGCGTTATTTTTCTCTGTGCAAATTTCGCCTTGAATGTGGCAAGGGGGCGGTTCAGGGGCGTGGCTCGGGCTGCACGTGATGCAAGAATGCAGTCGGACGAGCCTCTCGGTGGCGATCTTGCGTGCGAGATCGTCGCCCTGTGCAAAATCAAGAGCCGGTTTTCTCCTTTGTTTATTTATACATTTTTTTTTTTTGGTTTGTTCGAAACTGATTTTTGGTCTTAATTTGGTTGATTACTTGGGCAGCCGCTGGAAACGCCGAGCGAGCGGCGCTTTCGAATGACAACTGCAGCGGGCGACTGGCGGCTGGCGGCTGACGAGCGGTTTGGATCGAGCGGAGCGGACTGGATCGGAGTGGAGCGGAGCGGAGGCGGTTCAAGCGCGCCGTGTTGTTGGCCGGGCGAAAGACAGAAGCGTACTAAACGCCAGAAGAAGCGGCGCCAATCGGCCAGCGAATAGCAGTTTGTCGATTCAAGCACGAATGCCAAGCGCCAAAAGCCGAAGTCTTTACCTACGAGCAACATGTTGCTGGCGGGCAGCAACATGCGACACTCGGCAGCAGCAGCAACTGCAGCAACAGACAACAGGTATTTCCCGCTGGTGGCCGAGTGCAAATGATAAGCGCACGGCCAACTTGATTGTGGCCTAATCCAAGACTCCGCTATTTGCCTTTCAATTAATTTAATAAGAAGGAAACGAGTCCGAGGGCGATAAGATTATCTATTTGTTAGAGGAAATGGTGGATATCATTCCACCCTCTTGCCAAACGAAATTTTGCCAATCATTTTTGTCGTTTTCCGAAATATTTGATTATTTATGTTTGCCAACTGCCAACAGAAGTAACACTCGGCAACAACAATCGACTTCAGGTTCAAGAGTCCTTGATTTACACGTGTGTCCTTCGCCTTTTGTTTTTCCAGCCCAACTCCATCGAGCTTTGTTTTCGATTTGTGTTTGCTATATGCCAATTTGGTGGTCTGTTTGCATATTTACTGTAAACACTGTCTAAATTAGGCGCAGATTTACATTCACCACCGTCCTTTGATTGTTTACTTTCGGGAATTCCAAATGTAGCTCCCCGAATAAAACGCAGACACAATCATAAAAAGTTGGGCATAAATAGTTGGAGCCACTATCACGGGCATTGGACACCTGTTAACTTGATTATATAACTGCAGTCGAAGACAAAGGAATGGAATACATATTGATTTGAAATGAAAGTTTCTTAGAGGCGCAATAAACAGAAAGAAAATCACAAGGCAACTGAAATGGAAATAACCCGAACCTTTAAATTCATTCAACTGAACACTGCAAAAGTCGCAATTAAAACTAAAATAAACAAATACTTGGCAAATTACAAGCTGCATGCACAAATAAATTTATTGAAAATAGTCAAATAACAAAGCCAATGTAAATACATTATGAAAAAAGCACGTATGCCTTACAATTGCGTCTATACTTCTCATTTAAACAAAATTTCTTTTAATTACTGATTTTAACCGGTGCAGTCATCAGTTTCTCTTTTCATGAAAGTGTGATGAAATTGTTTAACACTCTCCTAATTAATCAAAATTAATACGATTTGTATGACCGAAACGAGTTGTTCGATTTGATTTAAGACACTCGTATATTTAATTGCACCTAACGCGTTATCTGTAGACCAGATAGAGTCGTATTTCATTGAATTGGCCAATTCAGATCTGGAACTCATCTAAACCACTCAAAAGTGCAGATTAGATAGTGCTTAATTTCACTTCGATAGGCGATTTAATGAGGAATGTACATTTAAAAGCTCGATTTGCGGCATTTACGTTTCAATAAATAAATATAGACAGGTTTCGGAGATCTGATTAAAAATACGAATATACTGTTTATTCGAAAATTGTAATTTATTTCGCAGAGGGAATTATAGCTTAAATTTGGGACACTTATGTGATTGAAAATTCTATCAAATAAATACAGATAGATAATTAGCTTAACCATAAATGGACCTAATTGAAATCTCAAAACTCTTTTTTTTTAGAAAATATATCCAATTCCCCTTATAAATAAACATGTCAAAATTTAATTTTAAATTAGTTCAACTTTGGTTTAGATAAAGCAATTAAAATTTCCCCCAATTGGGAATTTGGCAATGCAGCAAAAAAGGTAAACAGCTTTAAATGTGGCATGCCACACATTTACTGCTGTGTGGATTGCTGTACACTTCCAGTTTCGTTTTTTCGCTCTACTTTTGCATCCATAATTATCGGAACTTAACCCTTGGCAAGTGCAACAAGCGTTTATGTGTGTGTGTGTTTGTGATGGGAGGTCATTACCACCGGCCACATGCGTTTGGGCCAAGAACCAGTTTGGGGGTGGAAGCAGGCTAAAGCTTTAAGCCATTGCTTATACGACAAACGAAAACAAAACTGAAGTTTATTTTATTTTACTTGCCTTCCATGCCTTAACTTGCCTGACCTGCCGGAGAAGTGTGCTGCTTCTAGCCCGAAAGCCCAAACAGCTAACACCAACACCCCCATATCGCACATGCACTTGCCAAAAAAAAATGTTTAGATGCCAGTTCGGCTTGCTGAATAGATAATCCTATTTGTTTTTTTTTTTTTTGTAGTCATAGCTTAGATCAATTTAATTCAGATTATCAAGAATAATAATATATACAAACATTTATCTATAATTTTTATCAAGAATAATAATATATACAAACATTTATCTATAATTTTCAAGGTCTTAAATAGATTTAATATTATTATACCAAACACTCCAGTCAGTTGCCACCTCGGTTTGCAATAATCTTATCTTGCAATAATTTATAGAAAATATATCCTTATACTTATTTTTATCTAAAGTAGTTGTACATTTTTCTTTTAATATTTTCTCTATGAAGTGAAATGTTTAACAGTTAATCTTGATTTGCAAATTTAGTTCATGTTTTTCTTTGTGCACACACACACTCACCCACACACACACACACGCATCTGGCCGTCGCGCATTAAGCACACCAGCAACAACAATAATAACCAGTGCGAGAATGGCAACAAAAACAACGGTGAAAGTGGCTTGGCCAAAAGGAGGGAGAGAGAGTTGGTAGCAAAGGGATGGCCAACAGAGGGCGGTGGGTGTGGCTCGCTTGGCTTTTGTTCCTGCCTTTGCTGCTGCATTAGTTTGTGTTTGAACTTTGCAAGTTTTTGCCATCGTTGTTGGTGTTTTCCCCTCTATTTTTGTTCTTATTGTTGTTGTTGTTGTTGCAGGGCAACTGTTGATGTTTACATTTAGCGCTTGGATTTATGAACTCCGCATGCGGGGCACGTAGCATTGGACAATTTAAAGTTTAGCACACTCACCCCACAACCGAATCCCCAACCTCCTTTATCCCCACTTACGCATTGAGTAGGCCAAAATGGGGAAAATCCAAAAGGTCAATTGTCCTTTTACGGGGGGAAGGGGGTGGGGGTTTTAGCTTAGTGGACGCAGGACAAAGGACAAACTCTTCTCGTGGCATTTATTCTCTTCTTAAGTATTTACGCTTAGTTTATTTTTATTTGTTTAACGGCAATGAGTTCACAAAAGGCCAGTCGGGAAGTTAATGGACAGTTGGACACCGCTGTTAATGCTCTGTTACCAAGTTGGGACCAAAAGAGTTTGTTCAGAGGGGATTACTTTGGATCAAGATATTGTGATAATCAAAAATTGATCTTAATTGTTAAGTATTTAATGGTTTCAAATTACATGTTTTCATAGCTTATACAATCATCATTTCTACCGAAAATTGATGTTTGGATAAAAAATAAAATTAAATGTACATATATTAAAAACTATTTCTTAATTTTAAATTCGTTTTTTTTTTAATTTTTAAAATATTATGGTCTTTTTTTTTTTGGTTTTTCATTAATAACTAACGAAATTGCTGAACTTATCCGCTTCACATGAACATGGCGCCACTGAAAAAATGAAAATCTTACATTTGAAAAGTAAAATATATGTAGAAATCTCTTAGTTCCAAAATGTGTCGCCTCTTCAAGACTTAGGCGCCACTGTGTATTTTCTGAAGTTTATTGGTTAATACATTATCATCAGATTTTGTTACTTAGTTTAACTAATTCTATTTAATTAATTAGAAGTTAGTATGAAGTTTAAGCTGCATAAGTATGAGGAAATTTATTTGAACCATATTTACTCAGTTATACTTGGGTATTTATTTTGAACTTACCGCTAAATGTTGTTTTTAATATAAAAATATTCTTTAAATAACTAATACCTATTGATTATTCAATGTAGAGTTCGGACAGATGTATCTTAAAAATTAAATGTATAAGATTATAGGATACCGGACATAAACTAATGAGTTAAATGTTTCCTCAAATTCATATGCTCAAAAAAGGAAAGGATGTCTATTCTATTCCTAATAATATACTTTGATTATTATTATTATTACATATTACATTTAATTTGAAGTCATTTAATGAACTAACAAAGCACTTAAGCTAATGGTCGTATATCGGCCGAAGTCAAAGAGATTACCGTACTAATTTTATGCACAACTTTAATTAATTGTTAGATTTCCCTGTCGTCGCCAGCAGTATCAGCAGGTTGACACTCTCAATTGACTTGTAGGTTGTTTGAGCTGATTATCAAGCTCTTTGTGGCACCCCCTCCTTCCTCCCCTGGCATCCAAACAAATTGAGGCGATTAGAACGTTAATTGCGGGGCGTAAATCTGGCCAAGTGCCGCCCCAGCCGCATCACAACATCCATCAGGCCGGGTCCAAAAACGAGGCTAGCAGCCAGCTAGCCGTTTTGGCCAGGATTTACGAGCCACATTAGAGCTGGCCACAGACTTCGGAGCAGAGTGCAGCTCGGCTTGGCCGGTTGTTTTTGGCCTGCTCATAAGCAAATTTGAGGCAACAAGTAGCCGAGCACGCCATGGTTCCAGTTTTGGCCAGGGGCCCCTTTTCTTCCCCCTCTTTCCTCCTTTTTCCCCTCTCTCCCCTAAAAAAAGTCCAAGTTGCCACTGACAATGTTTACGGCTGCGTTGACAGTTTAAATCGCTCTGTGCTCGTATATTTTGACGTTTTACAGCTCGTGTTTTCTCCTGCTGTGAGATGGTATGCGTGTGTGTGTGTGTGTATCTGTGTGTGTTGGCCGAATGGTCGGCACTTGTTAGCCAGTCCGGGAATTGTTTTTGGCCATTGCCTAGGCCCAGGCGCTAAACGTGAGAAAGAAGCTTCGGCTGCCGACGGTTTCTGGATCATTACGCGACCCGTCTATGGGTTAACAATGGGTTGAAGAGCATTCGACCATTCGGCACTTGACTTGCCCACACAAAAGATACTCCGAGAAGGGGGAGGGGGCAATGTGGAGGGGTACACACAAAGAAAATAAGTTCCAAATAATGATTAGTGACCGTTTTTTAGGGTATTAGTATGTAACATGAAAACAATATCATAGCATTTTTAGGATTTATTAAATGATAAGTTAAATTATAAATTTTGGACTCCTATATTAAAAACCTTATAAAATTAAGACAACTTTCTACTTTCAGATTTAAAATTAATTTATTCCGTACAAAACATATCTTTGGTTAAAAATTAAAGAAATATTTCTTGAGTGACATTAATTACTTACATGTACCATACTTAACTGATAGATAAAAATTACTTTCGATTTTTTTTCTCAGTGCACAAATCTTCGGTGGCCTTCTTCGGGGCTGGACCGTGATTTAATCGCCACTGCCCAGCAAGCAGCAAAAAAAAAAAATAAAACAGAAACCCCGAGAAACACTTTTCGTGAGCGGTAAAGTAGCATTGGAATATCTGTAGCAGTTCACCGTTGTCCGGCAGCCCACCAGTCGGTGGGAGGGAGAGGGAAATAGCAAGGGCGAGAGGGAGACGGAGAGAGTGAAGTGCTTGGCAAGCACTCGATCAACAAAAGGCATCACTTGGATGTCGCCTCGAGTGGATGTGGATGTGGTTGTGAAGTGCTGAAATGAACTACAAATACACACAGCACAAAGCACAATAGGGTGTAAATATTTGCATTCTCTCTCCCTCTAGCACGCCTCTCGCCATCCC